GTCAATAATGTCCAGTTCATATATAAGCAGCAATTGAATGCAATTTGCTTTAGTCGAACTTTGAATGGCCGCAAGTTCAACTGTCGGTGGTGGAAAGTTTCTGTTTGATTTGACATTTTAATTGGGGGAAAAACCTTTACAAAGAAAATCAATATGCTGGAAACAAATGAAGTGAGTTGTTAAAAGAAAATTATTAAGATTATTATATGTGCTTAAAGTGCTGAAATTCTAAAAGTTATTTATGACAAATTATGAATGAAACTTGAACAAAAAGAAAATAGAAATGACATTTCCCTAAAAATTGATTAGCTATGAAGCTTAACTTATTCATGATAAAGTGTGAAGAACACTTTAATAAAATAAAACTAAACCAAGACATGATTTGAGGTTTAGAAAATTATACATTTTTATATGAGCATTTTGTGATAAAATCAAAGTTTAAAAAACTCGTAACTAAGCCAAAAAAGCCTTAATTTTAATTCGGAAAGCGGTCCGTTTTTTGTACAATTTTGACCCTAAAAAGTTTGAAAAAATTAAAAAAACAAACTTTTTACTCTGAGATGGCTAGATTGATTCTCCTGTTAATGCTGATCAAGAATATATATGATTTATAGGGTCGGAAATGATTCCTTCGAAAATTACAAGCTTCTGACTAAAATGAGAATACCCTTCCAAGGTATAGAAACTACATTTTTCTCTACAAAATGTTTCCACCTTTCCAAATATTTTCTAGCACTTTGAACTTTGTTTACAAATTTCCTTGACATATTTACCTTTTTTTCTCAACGCCAAAAATACAATTTCAAAGTCGAAGAACACCATAGTGTTGTGTACTTTGCCATTTAATTTGGCAGACATCTGCCAACTATAAACAAAATATATACCATATATATTTGACGTCAAATGAGATCATCACTCACAAATCACATCAATGAGAGAAGAAAGGAAAACATATATATTTTCAGAAATTAGTTGAAACCAAAGCTAATGATACCACAACAAAAAAATAAAATAAAAACTGTAACAAAATTAATGATTAGTTGTGAAGGGAAAATGTGTCAACGAAAGTAAGAGAAGCAAGCTCATGTGGTGAGGAAAAATTAAATGGAAAAAGCAAGAGCACCGCGGAACGTTAATCTCTAAGGCGATTGCTCTAGTTTCAGGGCAGCAGAAAAAAAAGAAGAATACAGTCTTCATTCCCAGCATTTTTATTTAACCAATTATAGAGATTAGTAATTCCAGTCTAGAGTCTAGAGGTTTCATATATCAGCGCCTCTTTGCCGGAGGTCAGCTCTTCTGGCTTCTGTAAAGCGATATTTCTCCAGCGGATGCTGGATTTGTTTACTATATTCGAATGGGGAAACTCATTTGATAAATGTAACAATTGCCAAAGGAAAAACCAAGGGAGTGTGTGTGTTGCAAGCAAAGATTTACGCATTTTTTGGGGTCAAAGCTAATGCTGATTATAATGTCTGAGTGTTCAATGTTTTTTTCACAATTGTTTTTCATTGGGTTATTTACGAGCTGTTAATAAGGGAACTTGAAGTAGAGGAAATATTTTTAGTGTAGCTTTTCTTCATAACAAAAATTAAGAAGCTTGAAAATAAATGAATAAATACAGAAGGGTTTAAATACTTTCTTTCTTGATTTAAAATTTAAAAAGAGTTAAGTTCTTAAGTCTCAAAATTTTATTCCCATTTCTTATTATATTTCCTATTTCCTTTTGATATTTATATAAATAGAAATTCAATTTTAAATACCTTTTAACCTTATAGCCTTCTCCTGTCTGTTTCTAAGTTATTAATTTCTAATACTCGTCTGTTGACACCTTGTTCTTTTTCAAGTTTCTTTTTCCCCCAATTTTGCTCCCAATTTTTCCCTCAATTTTCTTCAGTTTTCTTTTCGTTTTCCTTGTAACCTTTATAGGGGCCAAACATCTGTTGCATATTTCCGCACTTGTCATTAAAAATTTCCCATCATTCAGTCGCACCTGTCGTGCCATTCAGCTTGTCAAAACGAGACTGGAAAAATCACAGGGTCGCCAAAGAGGTCGAGGGGCTTTTAATGACCTCGGGGAAGACCTTTTTGTGGCAGAGAGAGAAAATAAAAAAAGGAAAAGAGTGACGCATGAAAAAAATAAACTTTACTAGACTTAATTCTTTTCTTATTGTAATACCCATTACGATAAAAATACTAGAAGGGATTATTTTATAGCATAAAAGAAACAAATAAAAAAGAATAATTTCATTTTTCATATTAAATATAATTTTCTTCCTCTAAAAAAATATTATATTCTTACCAAAAATTGATAATCATCTTCTAAACATAATATTAAATATATAGAAAATTTATGGATAAATTCTACAAACCAAAATGTACTAAAAATAATTCATTGTTGTTATTAATTGTGCTTTATTTCTTTTAGCATGATTTTTCATTAAAGTTACAGATATTTTTAAATAGAGTTTAGCATAGATATTTTGTACTAAAATATTGGTTTTTTATTATATTATTCTTTAAATCTAAGAACTATTTCTCCAAGTGTTTACCGGGTATTTCATGGTCTCAAAAGTTCTTATTTTTTTATATATTTTTCTCTACTCAACTCCTCGTCACTTGTTACTCAATTTGTCTTACACTTTTATTGTTTTCACTTTATGCCCTCAGCAACATTTTATTTTTATGGCTTTCTGTTTTTGTTGTTGTTGTTGTTTTTTTTATTTTTGCTTTTTGTTGTTGTATTTTTTTTATTTTTGCTTTTTGTTGTTGTATTTTTTATTTTTGCTTTTTGTTGTTTACTTTACGTTCGGACCGAAACGGTTTCTGAATGAGACGCAACTTGTGTGTTTTTTTTTCGCTGCCCCTTCGGTCTTTACTTTTTTCATCAGAATTTGGCGGTAAACATTTAATTTAAATTCTAGTTTCTATATAATATGCTTGGCAACATTTTTTTTCTATTTTTTTGGCATGGTTCATTGTACACATACCGCAGCAGTCCTAATTGAGACCCCTTTGCCATATCGTACTTTGCCAGTTGACTCAGCAGCAGGCTTATTCTTCTCTCAGTTTCTCCGCCAGTTTTCCACTCATTCTCCCCAAAACGGTTCTACATTTCGATTCCCTCTCGAGTTTTATTTGTTTTTTGTTGGGTTTTTTGAGGCCCTAGAGGCCCCAGTACTTGCCGCGCCGTCTTTGTGTTCGTTTGTGCTCTCTATCCGCGATCAATATCTATATAATATGTATATAGATATATAGTGCTATATTCTGTGTAAATCAGGCAATAGAAAAAACAGAAATGTCAACTGACCAGCAAATTGCATTTAATTAAGCCTAATTGAACCCTATGCCGCACAGTTGGAGAGCCATTAAGCAGTGACCCCGAATGAAAGGCACTTGCAACAAAAGCTAATTGAACTTTTCAATTAAGTTTGTTTTTGCAAAGGGTGGAAGAGAGATTGGTTCTAGGAGGAAATAAGGGAGGGTGGTTTAGTAATTTTATTACAAGGAAATAAGAATGTTTTTAATTAGTTTTTACAAGAAGTTATGCATTAAAACAGGCTCTGATCAAGTTTACTTACGGAAATGTATAAACAATTCATTTTATATAAGTTTCTTGTTTGAATACTTATAAATAATATATTATTTATGATATAAACAAGAAACTGACTTCGAAAATTCGTAGTTTATATACCTTTGAGGATTGCAAATGAATTATAGGATCAAATCGGAAACAACATAACTAATCTCAGAATATTTATATTTTTAATTCAATATTTATCGATATTTTAATATATGATAATTTGTAGGAAAAATAGAGTTTAAAAAACTATAACTAGGCCAAAAAAGCATTAATTTTAATTCGGAAAGCTTTCCTATGTTAGTTTTAATTAGGTTAATAAGTCTGCAAACTCAATTTAAAATTTTACATATATAAGATTTTCATCAAATTTTCAAATTTAACAATGTAAAAAATCTTGAAAAAATGTTGAAAAATTACAAATATACAAATTTCTGCTAAGATGCCTAGATCGATTTGGCTGTTGATGCTGACCAAAATATATATGATTTTAAGGGTCGAAATAACTCCTTCAATGCGTTTAAAGCTTCAGATTTAAATTAAAATACCATATAAGGGCATACAAATGATTAAACATTCAAAAGACTCATGTTTCCCATTGCTGTTATCACAATTACTTAGACCTTTAGTATTTTTCTCAGTCATCTTGCACATTTCTTATCTCTAGAAGCAGTCTCCCAACTCATGTTCGGTTCGAATGCGTTTTTGAATCTGTGTGGGAGGGTCATGAGTAATTGTGAATACAAAATTGTGAGGAAAAACAGCAGCAGCAAGCCTTTGCGAATCTGTTAAAGCGAAAACAGATTTTTTGCACATGTCAGCCAAATAGTTAAACGAATGTTTAAATGCCAAACACAAAACACTGTGTGGCTTTTTACGCCTTCATCTAAAGTGGCTGGCATACAGGGCGTATGCTCAATATTCATGAGCAGGCCAGACGGAATTACACTAAACAACAAAATTGAGACAGCAGATGTCTCGGAAATGAAACTTAATTACTTCTTTGATCCAACAAAGAAGTAATGGTTTCCTAATTCTGTTGACTAGTGTAATTAACAACATTCTCTTGTGCGTTTTGAATAAATATTACAAACTGTCTCGGCAGTTCTACTTCGACCATCAACTGAGCAAAGACCCCGCGCGCGAATAATGCTCAAAATAATTTCAAATTGAACGACGTGAAAAATGTGAACAAAATTAACAAAAAAATAACAAATAAAATTGGCTATATAAAAATTCTATATACTAACACAACCTATGCAAATGTATGTGAAATATCCCATGGCTGATGTGCAGTTGGTGAATGATTTGCTACTCGATTTGCGGCACATGAAAAACGATTGCGTTAGTTTTGCACTCCAAAGGAAACTCATTTAACTTGAACTTTATACTCATTTCGATACAATATTTTTTATACCTACAGCTTGAATTACTGCAGCGCAAGGTGGAGGATCTATCAGATACACAGAATATAGCCGAAGATCGGACGACACGCACCAAAACCGAATATGCTGTACTCCAGGCCAGATATCATATGCTGGAGGAGCAGTACCGAGAGGTAAGTATATCAAATATTTATATAGCAAGAGATTTATATATTTTAATTAAAATTTTTCCAGTCGGAGCTGCGTGCCGAGGAGCGTTTGGCCGAGGAGCAGAAGCGTCATCGCGAAATCCTGGCCCGTGTGGAGCGTGAAGCCTCGCTGCAGGATGAAAACTGTCAAATGAAGATCCGTGCCACCGAAATCGAGGCTGTGGCATTGCGTGAGGAGGCTGCCCGTTTGCGTGTCTTGTGTGATAAGCAAGCCAATGATCTTCATCGCACCGAAGAGCAACTGGAGTTGGCCCGCGATCAGATTGCCTCACTGCAGCAGGAGCATGAGGATCAGGCCTTGGCTTTGCGTCAAAATGAGTTGGCCAAAAAGTCGGCCGAGGAGCTGATGCTGGAGCTGAGCCGTGAGCTGCAGAGAGCACGTGAGGAGAGCGGGGCCAGGGCCATGCCCACCACCTCGCCGGAGAGCATAAGACTGGAGGAGCTGCATCAGGAGCTCGAGGAGATGCGCCAGAAGAATCGATGTGAGTCTATACTTTTGCGTGAATTTTATAATGAATACTAATTAAATTTTATAATATCTTTTCCAGCCCTTGAGGAGCAAAATGAGGAGCTGCAGGCCACCATGCTCACCAACCAGGCCACCATGCTGACCAATGGTGTGGAGCAGGGTCGTCATTTGCTCAATGGAACCCTCAATAGTCTGGCCCAGGAGCTGGAGGAGATGTCACAAGCCCAGGTGTGTAGCTTGAGGCTAGGATTTAACCTTGCCCGCTTATGCTTTATTAGTATAATCCCAAAAAATCCATCATACCACAGTCAAGTCCAAAAAATACACTCAAACACTCCACGCACAGTCACCGCAAATAGAAAACCCTCAAAGAAGACGTACTGCCCTGCGTTTATTTATTTTGAAACTATATATATTTTATCTATACTTAAATTCACATTTATTGTATTACAGGATTCTGTGGATTCAGCCACATTAGCATCCTTAAGTCAGGTAATGCTTCAATCACGCCAAAGCCACAAAAACAAAAAACCAAAATACTAGAAAAACAAAATTTATAAAAAACATTAATTAAACACGGTTTCGGAGCCTTTGAGCACGCATTTGCAGTTTTCAACTTGCAACTAAATTTAAATCTTACATTTAACGCTGGTTCATGGTCTTCTAATTTATCAAAAAAACTCATCAAAGGACATTTTCTAACATTCATGGCATTATGTGTATATACTGGTCTATCTATGTTTTCAAATTTTATAATTAATTATAATAACTAATAATAACTATTATATATATTGCAGCTGCAACAGGCCTTCCAGGAAAAGGAGGATGAGAATGTTCGTCTAAAGCACTATATTGATACAATCCTACTCAATATCGTGGAGAACTATCCTCAGCTGCTGGAGGTCAAGCCCATGGAAAGGAAGTGAAGCAAACCCCAAGGCAATGGAGATAATGCCACCTTACCACCTAACACCTAACTAACTAAATCATAACTTTATGTTAACATTTTAAGCTAAACTCTATATATATACATGTATTTATGTCGTATATTTAAGTCGTAATTTATTTTATAACAAAATTATTGTATTCTTTCTTTTAAAAACCAAAACAGAACAACACTGAATAAGAGAAAACACAAAGATTTGTATGTCAAAAAGAAGATCCTTAAATGTTTTTTGTAAAAAGTGAGAGATAGCCTGAAAATTCTGTAAAAGTTTAAATCTTTAAACTTGAGTCTTGTATAGTGAGTGTTGTTAAATCCATAAATCTTGTTAGCTTGTAAGTCTTAAATATGCATGTTTAATCTTTACAAAACAAAAAACGAAATCAAGAAATGGAGCCCCAATTATTTTATCCTATGACAAGTTACTATAATTCTCTAATTGAAATTGAAGAAGAACTTTTATGAAGTGTTAATGTTTGTTAGGAGATATTTTCCAATTTGTTGAATAATGGCAGGCTAAGAAGGTTTTTACTGGGAGCTCTTATTCTTATTCTTTAAACTATTTTATGTACACTTTTTTTTAAGCATCACCCAAAAGATTAACCCTTTTAAAAATCTTCTTAAGTTTGCCAGCAAAATAATATCGATCGAGAAAAAATTTGCGTTTATGGTATGGACAATCCCAGGATATGCAGTCGGTGTTTTAGTTTAATGTGGATCATTCACTTACTATCTATATCTATATATAAAAAACATAACTCTCAAAACATATGTCAATGTATAGCACATCGCAGTTGAAACTAAACATACTCTGAATATATATATTTATCATTAACCGAATATTAAAGTGGCCGTAATGTGCAAACATTTAGGGATCCGAGGTCTCTTTTTGTTTGATAATGCGATCCCTAATAGTCTAACTCCAGCGGTCAACACTAAAGTATAGCTAAATATTTATAAACAAACAAACATTAGATTTGAAATGAGAACTTTAATCAAAATTTGATTGCCTTAAATGGACGTTTTTAAAGTGTTTTAAGGCCCTAGTTAAACTCTAACAAAGAGAAGTCCATAACTTTTAATGACCATACTAAGTAACATGCAAAGTAACATGGAATTTTTAAATTTAATTTACAAAATGCAATAAGCTGAACTTATGTCCAAATAAAAACTGATGCATATTTTATAAAACATCGACTGACAAAGCCTTATTTTTGGTTTGGCACAGCCCTAAAACCAAAGCATTTTTGCTAATTGGACGCAAAACCCGTTCAGGTGAGTGGAAATTTATTAAGGAAGCTTCACGATAACTGGTTCAGAACATTGCGTAAGATTTTAATGATTTTTCAGATTGTTATATAAGAGGAGTTGCGAAGCAGCTAAAAGGACAGAGAAGACATTGGAGTTGAAGTGTGATAAAATGTTCAAGCCGTTTATCCTTTGGCCGCAGGTAAAACAAGGGTTTATTGTTTAAAGTTACTTTGAAATAATCTTTATTTTTTAATTTAATTTTCAGTGCTGCTGTGTGTTGTCTTCGCCACAGCGCAGGTTGTGCCAAATACAGAAATCGGTCGCATTACCATCCAGGTGCCGTTGCTGTCCAATGGAAAGCCAGTGATCCTTAACAATCAGGATAGAGAGGAGATGGCCACCGTGGAGGAGATCAAGCCGGGAAAGGTCCATGTTGTCCAGGAGGTCGTGGTGCCACCCACAGTTAAGATGGAGAATAAAGGACGGCTGACGAGATCTGTATCAAACTCTGGAGGATATAATCATGGTATTCCAAACCCGGATCCCTAATCATGGTATCCCTAACGTGGATCCAAATGATGGTATACCTAATCATGGATACCTAATCCTGGATCCCCAATCATGGTACCTAACCTGGCATCCCAATCATGGTATACCTAATCCTGGCATCCCCAATCATGGTATTCCGAATCCTGGCATCCCTAATCATGGTATCCCGAATCCTGGCATCCCGATTCCCGATGCATCCGAACTCAAACCCGTTGCAGTGATGCCTCCAAGTCCAACAACTACATCGCCATCGTCTGTAACCAAGCGGTACCAACAAGGAATTGTCATCATCTTCTCATGGGTGGCATGACCACCATGTCACCCATGGATACAATGGATACACCACTTCCTCCTCCACAGTCGATGGATAATTGCGATGAATTGTGCACCAAACACGAGTACATCCCGGTGTGTGCCCACAATGGCATCTGTGTTCATGAGTTTGCCAATCAGTGCGTGATGGACACATTCAATTGTAGACATCGCGGGATGACCTTCCGGGCAACGGATGAGGATGTGTGCCGACTGGGAGTGTGCATGAGGCGATGCAAAGAGGAGGATATGAAGAATTAAGAGAGTTTAAAACTCTACATAGAGAGAGATTAATTGTACATTTATGTAAAGAAATTAAAATACATCAAGTATATTTTTTAAAAAAGAAAAAACAGAAGTTTTCTGCTAGGCTTAAGTTATAGTTGTAATCTTTTTGTGATTTCAAGTTAACCAAATTTTATTATATTCCTTTTTGTCTTTTCTTCTATTTATATTTTGTATTGTACCTAATATTTCTCTCCCATTTTGGTGTCAAGGTCGGGTTCTTACACATGTTCCAATTACAAAATTCTTTTTCTCCCTGAGGCTAGAAATATACACATCTTCCTCATTTTTAACATTTTAAAGCTCATCCTTCCCTTTGGTAGCATTATGTTTTGGCTTATGCTCCTGAATGCATTAATTAAATTTAATTAAAATGTGTCAACTGAGCTTGTCATAACAAATTCGTCTCACATCTGTGTTACATCCTTACTTTTCAGGCTTTGTATATGTTGGTAGAATGGCTCATTAAAAACTTTTATGGTGATGAGATGGCGAAGGCTGTAAGAGCCTGGCCAAAATAAACATATATGTAACTTACATATATGTGTATGTGTATTTTTAGTTAATTAAAGGCATAATAATGCAGATACACACTCCCTTTTTGACAGGTAGTTGAAGGTGGGTTTTATCCTTTGAAATTTTTGATGATTAAGTGTTGAATTCAGAGAATTCTTCACTCTTTTCTTTAAGAACTTTCAATAATATTTAAGAAAGATAAAAATCTTTAATTAATATATTTATTTATATTTTATTTTGATTTTTTATTACATTTTTTTCTCCAACCTCTCTTCCCTTTAAAAACCCATCTTATAAACCAAACTCTTTGAGATCCGCTTCAAGGCACAGTGGCTGCCATTCCTGCATGCACCGATGATCCTCGACAATGTCAAACATTTTCTGAGGATTGCGGCAATTGTAGGCTGCCATGGCACAGCGACTGTTGAATTTTAGCAGGCACTGTCCATTGGTGGCACATACAGAAGGTCCTTTTCGGTACAATAAAAGCCGCATTTGTCCTCAACTTCAACGGAATAAACCCTTTTGCCATGCTGGTCAATGCTTAGAGTATTACCACCAGACATGGGCATTACTTTAGCCGAGGCAAAGACAAGGAAAACTTTAGGGAAAGTTATATGAAAATTATTTAAAAAATATAAAATAATATTAATAATGTTTAAAGCAAAAACTTACCCAAAAAGATCAGCATTAAGGACTTCATTGTTGGTATTAAATTGAATTTTTTAATGCAGAGACTGTTGGTGTGTAATTTTTTACCTTGCTGTTTAGCAGCAACTGTAAAACTGTTGATTTTTCCAACAAATGTTTTGTTTTTTATACCCAACAAAAGCTTTTTTGGTTTCTGCTGTTTTGCGGTCTGTCCTTCCTGATTCCCTGCATAATCTTTTATTTTAACACCTGCCAGAGAGAGATATTAAATTGCATCGTCACCACAGCATTATCATCATCATCATCATCAGCAGCAGCAGGAGCATTTGGCTGTCATTTTTATTCTTATCTGCCTTGTAATTAAATGTCCCGCCCTTGCCAAAAATAAAATCAAATTTGCATATTTTTTACTGTGGTTTTTTTTTGTTTTTTGGTTTTTATTTTGCTTTTTATGTGGCTTTTCGGTTTTGGCCTAAAAGTTGACTTTAAATTGTGGGATTTTTTCTTGGTTGAGGAAAATTCCGCTTGCTTTAAATGGCGGCGCTAAAATTTATAATAATTTTATATATTCTTTATAAATTAAGAAAATTTTACATTTATATACCTCAAATTCATTAAGTATTCAATTACTATAAAGATAAATAATACAAAATAATATTTATTCTTAAGACAAGTTACATACTTTATCCAGAAGTAGTAAGTAATAAATGAATTTATAAATTTAATAACAAAAAGTAAAGGTAGCTTCTGTAAAATGTTTATAAACTTAAAACAGACTTTATTAGGATTAAATATGTTAAAATAAGTATATAGTATAGGGCTACAAGTATAAATATAAACTGCTCTTTAAGATAATATAGTAATACAAATTAAATTACATTAAATATTAAGATAATATAATAATACAAATTAAATTACATTTAAATTAAATTCATGTCTCTTTTATTATATTAAAGTATATTATATATAACATATATAATATTAAAGTATATATACCAATTTATTTAAATCATATTATTTTTATATCTATTAATTATTTATATTACATTATTGTTTACCAATAAGAACAGGCTTCCAAGTTAGCAACTGACAAGCTTGAATTTATTTCATTTCTGGCTTATGTCTTATTCTTATTATTTCACTTTCGTCTTATTTTTGTTCCCAAAATAAATAATTTCTTCAAGCTCACCCGAAATATCTCATAATTATCAATATTTAAATATTCTTCAATAAGGAAACGATTAAGTTAAGTCTTTCCTTTACACCTTTTCCCGCACCTTTCCTTTTGCAAATCCAATTCTCAGCTCACTGGTCCGTTCAAGCGAAACGAATCAATGAGAAAATAACCTGTTCCAACTCGTGTGCCGTGAATTAACATAAAAACCAAATAATAACATGAGCAAATGTTATAAACAAATCGCTGGCAAACCTGATGACATATCAGAAGCCTTTATAAAGGGCTTGCAAGCAGTGAAAATACAGAACGTTCTTAAAGAGTTACGAAAAGGAACTCATACGCAAAAAATGAAGTTATCTTGATAATTGGTAAGTTTAAATAATAAATTTTTAAGAACTCAAGTTGCCTTATAATTTAACCTTTCCTGTTGAATCCTTGACTCCAGCAGCCATCCTGTCGCTGGGACACACCGCAGAGTTGCCCCAAACCACAGAGGCCACAACAACCAATACCGCTGGGGGGAAGCAACCCCAGACAGAGCTTCCGGTGCATATCCAAAACCTGATAACTAGCCACATCAATCAGGTGCTTCAGCATGTGAAGAACAAGAATTCAAACACATTGACTGGATCTATCTCCTCCTCCTCCTCAGCTGGGAGTGGGAGTTGGAGTGGAAGTGGCAGCTCCTCCTCCTCATCCTCCTCCTCCTGGAATGGCACGCCAGTGGTCAAACCCCATCCAGATCTCCTTCCACCATTGGCACACTCTGGTCATGTCACTCCCATTGCCATTGTTGACCGCCCAACGTCTGCATCTCAGGTGCAATCTGGCCTACAACCGGTGCAAACTATCGATCCACAGGTGAGGGTGAAGGTGACCAATCATCAGGCCATCGGTACATTGATCCATCAGGGCAGACCGGTGGTCCAGAACAAGGTGGTGATGCAGCCAGTAGAGCAGGTGGTTCACCCACAGGAACCCATTAATGTGGCCGAAAAGTTGCAAAAACTACAGCAGCATGTTGCCAAGGTGATGCAACAGGCTGAGAAGCACATTCCTTGGCTCTTCAGCAGGCCATACAAAAGAAAAAGGAGCAGCAGGAGCAGAGGGAAAAGGAGGAGCAGCAAAAGGATAAGGAAAATGAAAAGGAAAAGGAGGTTACAAAGGAACTGAACACAATGTAAACAAAACGGGTCGTCTTTGGTTATCCCACCAAAAGTCTCGAATATAGTCAATCAGTTCATGCCCATGTACCTCAACTCCTGGCCCATCATCGCGAGGAAATCAAGCTGGGAAAATGCAACTTTGAGTGTCCACGACAAGCTCTCACATTTGCGCCAGCAATGGCAAGTGTGTGGTTAATTTTCCGGGACAATGTGAGCTGAGCCAATGGAATTGCTTCAATACCAAAAATGGTAATCAAGTTATTAAGATTTTATTAAGATTTATAATCTATAAACCTTATTTGCTTCTTAGTTTTCCACCAGGTTCACGATTCAGAGTGCCAGAATACCATCACTTGCTATAAAAAGGATATGATGTGAGAACATGCTTCATATGGAGAGTAAACAAACGCATTTATTTGCCATTAAAATTCAAAATCAATGAAATACATTTCAATTTTTAAAATAAACTTAGAAAAAGTCATTTTTATATCAAATAACATTAAAATTCACTCTAAAAGGCAACTTTTTGTATCACTTCCTTTATTTTCCATGTCATTTTCCGTATCAGGATATTTCCCTGACATTTTATCTACACTTTCGCACAAACACTTTCACAATTGTCAAGGGAATCCTCCTTGACGATGTCCCATCTGCCACTGGCAGAGCCAAGCGATTGCGTTTTGCCGGCAATCATCCAATTTGTCAAAATGGCTTATTAACGGATTTTGGTGAAAGCCGCATAAGAACGCTCAGCCAGGGCGTTGGAGTTGGCTCAAATAAATGTCATTACCAATGATTTTGCCAATATACAAATGCCACAGGGAATGGGGCTTTGGCTTTGCTTTAGCTTTGAGATTGGAGCATGGCCAAAAGTGGCATCGACAGCTGGCCAACATGTTGACTGCGGCTTATCATGGAATGGGAATGGCGGTCTAAATGCCGAGACCAGTTACGAGTGCAGACACGATAACTCCTATGCAAATTTGCAATTTTTCACCAATTAAAAAGCACTTTCTGGTCAGAAAACTTTAGAGGTTAAAGGAAAGTTCACAATGTTTTTCTCTTCTTTTTCTATTTTTTATTTGGATATCTTTAAAAAAAAGATCTTTATCTTTCATGTTGTGGGGCAGAGATCTGTTTCCTCCAACCTATATTTAACATACTATATCCTCCTTCCCCCAAATTGTTAACTATGCTTTGCTGCATGCGGAATCTACGACATCTATTCGCCTTTTGGGGCCCATAAATTTTCCACTTTTCTCCAGCCGCAATTTCCCCGGGGAGCATCGTCTTCGGTCTTTTCCTCGATCTTCTCTTCTCTGGACTTGTTCTACAAATGTTTGACTTAGTTTCGCCTCATGCTGCGTGTCTGGACTTTAGTGCTCCGTTTTTGGCCTGGCCACGCATGCGTCTTGGCCAATTCCAGAGACCTGGCTTAAAGCCCCCCTTCCATTGCGCCGCACAAAAAGCTCCGTTAACTCGGTTGCCGCGCTTGCTTATCTCAGCCAAAGGCTTTTGGTTAGGATTTGGCTTTGGCTCTGGCCAGTTTCTTCTTTTTATTGCACTGCGAGGAAAGTCAAGGTGCTTCAAGTTTAAGTAAATTTTGAAATTTAAGAACATTGATTAAAGATGATTAAATAATAATTTAAACTTGTATAAATTAAGTTACAAATTTGAATATTTTGAATTTTGGAGACTTCTCTGACCCATGTTTGTTGCTCAACATGTTACTAGAAACTTTGTGTTTATTTGGCAACATGTTTGTTGCTCAACATGTTCCTAGAAACATTTGTGTTTATTTGGCAACATTTTATGTTTGCCTTTCGCCCTGTTTAATTTAAGTCTTTGTATTTATTTGGGTGTTTTAAAATGTTCCTTTATTATCAACATTTGAAAACATTTTCTTTTGCTTTCACCCTGTTTATTTTAATTTTTATAAATACTGATAACAAATAGACATTATTTTTTAGTTGTTTCTTTAAATGTTCCTGACCTTATAACAAAGTCTTTTTTATAAACATTTCTTTGGCATTTGCCTTGTTATTTAAATATTTTATAAATTTAATCATATTTAGACAAAGTTTATTGGCCAAGGTTCTGCTTCCTTAATTCTGTAGCTTTTCTACTTCTTCAATTATCCATGATTTTTTTTAGAATTTTCTTAGAACTTTTTTTAACAGTGTGAGTAGGCCGGACTCTGGTTAATGCCAAATGCGTGAGTTGAGGGCCGTACCGCATTTGATGGCTTGGATAGCTTCAGCTGCCGCTCCAGCTCCTGCTCCTGCTCTGCTTCTGCTTTTTCTCCTGTTTCTGCTTCTGCTGGAGACTGAGCTCCTTGGTTGGGCTCTACCGAGTCAAGCCAGAGCGGAAATGCAATTAACACTTTGGGCCGTAATTGCGTGCCAAATGCATTTCGCTTGCTCTGTGGCCAGTCCAGTCAGTGGGCTGGACGGGAATCACCAGAAATATATACGCTCCAGCTTTAGCTGTCTTGTTTTGATTTGCTTGGCTCATTTGCAAGAAATGTGCCCATAAATCAATTCGGAAGCTCTACGGGGAAGCCTTTCTCTGGCAAACTCTCTGTGGTTATACGTGGAGGAGAAAACCTTGGAACTTTAGGGAATCAAAAGGAGGTTTGCAGCGTGGAAATGGAATGAAATACTCACTACTCGGGCAGGTGGAAAGTTGATGAAGCTCAGAATCGTAGATTGATTTTTGGGAAGGAATTTAAGGATCTTAAGGTTGGCTTTTTAATAGATTTTATTAAATTTCAAAGAGCTTTAAAGGTAATGCTTAGGCATAAACTTTTTACCACCAATTACAAAATTTTTTTAATTTTCCTGGTGTGAGAATCTCAGTTTTCAATAATCCCTATTAAATGCTTTCATTGTCTTTGTGTTTCACTTAAGTGAAATTAATTGAGTAATTTAATGGGAAATGTTTGCAACATTGCTGAGGCAACAGAGGAAGAGAAAAACGTATAAAAACAGATGGAAATGATTCCACAAACAAGATTCCAAGGGGAAGTGAATCCCCGTCAAAGTGTGGCGGCAGATGCAGATTATAACAAAAAAAAAAAGACTGTAAACGAGGCCAGAAGGCAACAGAATTTAATATAAAGCATATTAACTTTGATGCCAAATGACCGCCGGCCTAAAGGGCGAGGAGGCTTTTTTGCCTAATGGGGCGGAGGCGGTCAGGAGATGTAGAATAAAAAAAATCCCAGATCCCGTCCGTCCGTCCAACATATGTTTGACGATGATGCGCGCTTTTGAAGTTCTTGGTAGCTGTTGGAACCAACGTGGGTTCGACCGCCTGACAAGCGTTTAAAAAGGTTTTATTTACACCGTAGACAGCGGCAGAAGCCGGTCCAAGAATGGGTCTGTATCTCTCCCTGGTCTCTGGTCCAATGTGCAGCGCAATTAAGTTGCCAACAACTTTGAAATTATGCAATTATGGGTATGAGAAATTGCCTGGAAATTACACGAGAGACTTGACGAACAGCGGCAGTCAAGAGGAGCAATATATACTGTAAGGAAATGTGTGTGATATGTTTTTAAAAATTATTTAAATTGTATTACTTTTACTTGCTCCTAGGACATGTTCCTAGAAATGTGTTCTTTAAATGTTGCGCAACAAGTTCTAACAATGTCAACATTTGGCCTTGGTTGTAAACATTTTCTATTACTTTTCGCCTTGTTTAATTAACTTTTTTTTAAATAAAAATTAGCATAATTTGGCAAAGCAGCTTTGTCAGAAGCTTAAAACGCAGTGAAGGAATATTTCCGACCCCATAATCATATATATTCTTGATCAGCATAAACATCCGAGTCGATCTAGCCATGTTTGACAGAAAATTTTTTTTTACATTTTTTCATAATTTTATCAGATCAAAATTGTAAAAAAAAATAGACAAAATGTAATTTTTTCACGTTTAAAATTGAGTATGTGGATTTATAAACCTATGAAAATTACCACAGAAAAGCTTTCCGATTGAAAATTAAAGCATTTTGACTGAGTTGTGAACTATTTCCCCTGCTAGGTACATAAATTTCGGTTTCCTTTCTAGTTTTTTTTTCTTATTCAATTTCCCCAAATTTTTCCCAGTGAACTTGAAACCAAAGTGAAGCTTAAAGCAGCTCAAGTGGAGCTCGGCTCCCAACTCAGAGCCTACTTGATTATTTATTAAAACGAAAGTTAAACAGCGAAAGGAAGCAATTTTCCATATAAAAGAAGCGAACTCCGCTGCTGAGGAAGCCAAGAGAGAACATTCGCCGTGGCCCCATGTATCTATGCAAGTTCTTTTGCCAGCTTCTGCGGGCTTCTACAGGCACTGCCTCTCCTCTCCAGAGCGTAATTGCCATGTTTAAAGTGTGATTAATTTGTAATCATCAAAAAGGCAAAAACAGGCATGGGCATGCAGGGAAAAAAATGAAGGGCTCCCTCTCTCTCTGTTTGCATTTTAAGTTTGCCAACCGGAGAGGCAGAAAACATAACGAAGTCAAAGTAAAAGCCAAAGCCAGGAATCGCCTTGGGCACTAAAATGGAGACGGGAAGTGCGGGACAACAGCGTGTTCCCTAAGTAATTGAGTTTTGCTCGCAGAGGCGTTGAAAGTGGAGGAGGGTAAGGGATCAGGGAGTAGGAATATAATGAGGCAGACAGAGGCTATATATGCTTAGTGCCACTGATAATCTGCAGATTTATCAGCGAAAGAAAATAGCCAAGGATATTGTTATTACTGCCAAGACACTCTTTGAAATAAGTTCTCAGAAGGATACTAACTGAAGGACATTGTTGGAACTGCAAGAAAGACGCTACAAGGAACCTCTCTCTTTAAGTTTTATTATTATTTATTATATTTACTACAGATATATTTAACATATTATAAAGCCAAAAATATTTGCAAAATCCTGCTCTACAACTAAAAAATAATTAAGAATTTCCCCAGCTTAACAACTTAATCTTCAATGACTTCACTCTGTGTTCATGTTTTCATTTCTTACACCAAAACATTTTTATCAATCGCTTATCCCCAACTATCGTCATTTGTGGCTCTTGCTTTGCCAATTTCATTAGCTGACAACTTTATTAGCACCTTGAGAAAGCAAGTTGGCCAGCAGCATCAGCTCCCAGTAAACACGATTCTCAGCTGGCCAAGTCTAATTACAGACAACGGCTATTAGAATGCATCCAACAGATACGCGTACATCCATAAAAGCCAATCGCAAAAGCATTGCCATTAATTAAGCGGAAGTATAAATCCTAACATGGCCTCAAAGCCGAAATACAAATGAAGCAGGAAACTGACAAAGACACACGATTGTTTAGTATATAAAATAGTAATATTTTCGATTCTAAAAAAGATATGGTGACTATA